ACGAGTGTGTTTGTGTGCGATCGGGCATACGTGTGCGTGAACAGCTTATCGATTCGCCGACTAGCCGCGGGCGCCTTTCTTCATGTGCGCCGTATTTGTAAATGTGTGTGTCGTAACTGCATTCTAGGAGACTAGTTAAACAGTTCAACGACAAAATAAACTATCCGGATGTTTCCCGAAAGTAAAAAAAAGAGTATTTAAAGAGACGATCGCCGAAAAACGAAGAAATAAATTGACCGTTGCAGAAGCGAATCTAGAAATAAATTGACAGTGATAGCAGCGAAATAAATAGTGCAGTGAATAGTGATATACTAATAATTAGTGCAAGTAAATAGTTTTTGTCGTTATCAGTCTCAGAAGTTAATTTTGCTAAACCCACGAACATTACAACTGGTGTCAGGTGTGGGGTTGAGTACAATGGCGAAGAAGTACAAAGAAAATAGTAAAACTTTGAAACGAGAATTGGAAGAAAATAGTAAAAGTTTGAAACGTGAATGGGAAGAAAATAGTAAAAGTTTGAAACGTGAATTGGAAGAAAATAGTAAAAGTTTGAAACGTGAATAGGAAGAAAATAGTAAAAGTTTGAAACGTGAATTGAAAGAAAACAGTAGAAGTTTGGAGAATAAATGGAAGGAAAAATTTAATAAGAATATTCAAGAAACAAAAGAGAAGATAAAAGTACTGGAAGAATTGATTTTTAAAGAAAAGATAAAACCAATCGGAGGGGATGTTGGCGCATCTAGTACACTCCACGAAACCAAGCCAAGGAAGCGGTATAGTGACAAGAACACGAGTGAAACCACCAATGTTTGGCGGCAAGCAATTCGAGGCGGCTGCTAAGGCGAAAAACTGGGCGCCTGAAGAAAAAGCCACTGCGTTGACCGTTGCGCTTCATATAGAGGCATGTGACATTTTCAACACCCTTTCCCGGGAAGAATTGGCGGATTATGAACAGTTGGTAAAACGGTTACAGTTGCGCTACGGCGAGGCTCATTTAACAGCGGTGCATCACATCCAACTGAAAACCCGTCAGCAGAAACAAACGGAATCCCTACAAGAATTTGAGGCCGATATTGCGAGACGGTCTCGACTGGCCTATCCTAATACTCCAGAAGAATTGATGGAAAGGTTGGCAGTGGAGGCATTTACTGGTGGATTTAGGGACAATGACACTCAACAACGAAGACGCCTTGACCGAACTAAGGTGCTAGCTGATGCATTGGCTCGTGCATTAGAGTACAAAACTGTTAAACGGGCCTATAGCAAACAGGGAAGGGTTCGGCTACTGTGCGAAGAAACGGATTTGTCAGAATCTTTAGAAGAAACTGTCTACCGAATCATCGCCAAGTTCGATAAAGAAACTCGAAAGCCAAGATGTTAGAATTGCGGCGAACTAGGTCATACGAGAAGGCAGTGTAGGAAATGTACTCCTTCCCCAAGTACTCGACGTCAAACAGACTGCAAGCAGTGTGATCGAATGGAAAAGAATGAAGAAGCAATGCGACGCGTTACGGTAATCAATGACGAATGGTTACCTGACAATATAAAACACGACCAAGAAAACGACCCGGACTTGAAGAAGATGATGGAATGGAAAAGAGACGGAAAACGACCAACGCGGCAGCAAATTTATTCCTGTACCCAAGTGCTAAAATCGTTACGGGCTCATTGGGACTCCATGGTTTTGGAGGATGGCATCCTAAAGCGTGTTGTTGAATGTCCAGATGAAGAGGAAGAATTGAGAAAACTCCAAATAGGAAGCCGAAAGTAGTCCATTTTAATCGCTTGGCTCCATTCGCCGGTGCAAATGAAGAGGAGCGGGCCAGATTATTAAGGACTATTCCTTCCGAGCCAACATTCGAAGCGTTCAAGAAGGAAGGCTCCGCATGGTAACAGGAGATTTGGAGTGACGCAAGAAATCCGACGAGACCTCTTTGCTATATCTAAGGATATCTCTGGCCCATTGCGTTTCAAAGGATCTCAGAATGGGCCGTGGTATCGCGTCCGAGTTCAAACGCAGATTTGGCGGTTTGGAACATCTTGAAGACCAAGTACAGAAGGGAAAAAGACTGTTGTTATGAGAAGACTGTGGACTGTTACTTTTATTCCCGGAGCGGATGTCATGAAGGTGAGAACTGCAGATTCCGGCATGATGCTGCGAAGCGGAAAGTTAAAATGTTTCGGGACGGAACATCCTTAAGGATAAGGCAGTGTAGCGAGCACAAGTGTGTTTGTGTGCGATCAGGCACACGTGTGCATGAACGGCTTATCGATTCGCCGACTAGCCGCGGACGCTTTTCTTCATGTAGTCCGTATTTGTAAATGTGTAAAACGACCCACGGACAGACCAAAGAACAATACAAGTTATACATTCTCTTATTATACGAATTTAATAAACCAATATACATTGAATGTTTAGTTTTTGATTTTCATACAACTTTCGACGCATTAATTAGTCATGCTGATTTGACTAAAATGAATGCCATTATAAATTATTCCGACAATACATTGACTACTGAACACACACAGATACAATTTCACGAGACTAGAGATAAAATTTTAACAAACATCACTTGCAAAATCCCGGTCAATTTACACAAAGGATCTTGTGTTACACTTGACCATGAACAAATTGTACCAGGTATCTACAATGTAAATAACGGTTTTGCTGATGTCCAATGTCTCAATAATATTCACATCGATGAACCTACGGATGTAGATACCCTTGACAAATACGTTTACTCAGACAAAGCCCCGATTGATGACAATATAAATTGCGACGTAATGAAACAGCTCAAATTAGATCACATGAATAATGAAGAAAAAAATAAAATTACAAAACTTTGCAAAGAATTCAATTCAAGAAACAAGGACTACAACGATGGCTCCTACATAATTGACCATGAGAATCTAAAATAAATGCTTGTGAAATTCAACAATTACCTTCAAGACCACTGAGAAATGACAACACTGCNAGGCGAATAACTGGGCGCCTGAAGAAAAAGCCACTGCGTTGACCGTTGCGCTTCATATAGAGGCATGTGACATTTTCAACACCCTTTCCCGGGAAGAATTGGCGGATTATGAACAGTTGGTAAAACGGTTACAGTTGCGCTACGGCGAGGCTCATTTAACAGCGGTGCATCACATCCAACTGAAAACCCGTCAGCAGAAACAAACGGAATCCCTACAAGAATTTGAGGCCGATATTGCGAGACGGTCTCGACTGGCCTATCCTAATACTCCAGAAGAATTGATGGAAAGGTTGGCAGTGGAGGCATTTACTGGTGGATTTAGGGACAATGACACTCAACAACGAAGACGCCTTGACCGAACTAAGGTGCTAGCTGATGCATTGGCTCGTGCATTAGAGTACAAAACTGTTAAACGGGCCTATAGCAAACAGGGAAGGGTTCGGCTACTGTGCGAAGAAACGGATTTGTCAGAATCTTTAGAAGAAACTGTCTACCGAATCATCGCCAAGTTCGATAAAGAAACTCGAAAGCCAAGATGTTAGAATTGCGGCGAACTAGGTCATACGAGAAGGCAGTGTAGGAAATGTACTCCTTCCCCAAGTACTCGACGTCAAACAGACTGCAAGCAGTGTGATCGAATGGAAAAGAATGAAGAAGCAATGCGACGCGTTACGGTAATCAATGACGAATGGTTACCTGACAATATAAAACACGACCAAGAAAACGACCCGGACTTGAAGAAGATGATGGAATGGAAAAGAGACGGAAAACGACCAACGCGGCAGCAAATTTATTCCTGTACCCAAGTGCTAAAATCGTTACGGGCTCATTGGGACTCCATGGTTTTGGAGGATGGCATCCTAAAGCGTGTTGTTGAATGTCCAGATGAAGAGGAAGAATTGAGAAAACTCCAAATAGGAAGCCGAAAGTAGTCCATTTTAATCGCTTGGCTCCATTCGCCGGTGCAAATGAAGAGGAGCGGGCCAGATTATTAAGGACTATTCCTTCCGAGCCAACATTCGAAGCGTTCAAGAAGGAAGGCTCCGCATGGTAACAGGAGATTTGGAGTGACGCAAGAAATCCGACGAGACCTCTTTGCTATATCTAAGGATATCTCTGGCCCATTGCGTTTCAAAGGATCTCAGAATGGGCCGTGGTATCGCGTCCGAGTTCAAACGCAGATTTGGCGGTTTGGAACATCTTGAAGACCAAGTACAGAAGGGAAAAAGACTGTTGTTATGAGAAGACTGTGGACTGTTACTTTTATTCCCGGAGCGGATGTCATGAAGGTGAGAACTGCAGATTCCGGCATGATGCTGCGAAGCGGAAAGTTAAAATGTTTCGGGACGGAACATCCTTAAGGATAAGGCAGTGTAGCGAGCACAAGTGTGTTTGTGTGCGATCAGGCACACGTGTGCATGAACGGCTTATCGATTCGCCGACTAGCCGCGGACGCTTTTCTTCATGTAGTCCGTATTTGTAAATGTGTAAAACGACCCACGGACAGACCAAAGAACAATACAAGTTATACATTCTCTTATTATACGAATTTAATAAACCAATATACATTGAATGTTTAGTTTTTGATTTTCATACAACTTTCGACGCATTAATTAGTCATGCTGATTTGACTAAAATGAATGCCATTATAAATTATTCCGACAATACATTGACTACTGAACACACACAGATACAATTTCACGAGACTAGAGATAAAATTTTAACAAACATCACTTGCAAAATCCCGGTCAATTTACACAAAGGATCTTGTGTTACACTTGACCATGAACAAATTGTACCAGGTATCTACAATGTAAATAACGGTTTTGCTGATGTCCAATGTCTCAATAATATTCACATCGATGAACCTACGGATGTAGATACCCTTGACAAATACGTTTACTCAGACAAAGCCCCGATTGATGACAATATAAATTGCGACGTAATGAAACAGCTCAAATTAGATCACATGAATAATGAAGAAAAAAATAAAATTACAAAACTTTGCAAAGAATTCAATTCAAGAAACAAGGACTACAACGATGGCTCCTACATAATTGACCATGAGAATCTAAAATAAATGCTTGTGAAATTCAACAATTACCTTCAAGACCACTGAGAAATGACAACACTGCTGCATAAGATCGAAAAAACTTCAGTCCATCTACAGCAGCTGACCTTCGCATCTCATGCTACCATAACGACTCTCTCGTTCGTTACCATTCAAGTCTGATCAACCCCAAAAGGAGCTGGCAAGGAACTCAAAATTTTGAAGACATCTCCAGCACCCCTTTGCTCTGTGATCATTTGAAGACGAGGACGTCTTTTATCCTAAGGGAGGAGGAGTTACATCTAGCGACCTTTGCCCCTACCTCGGATCACACCACCGGCCATCAACTTCTAATTAGTATATAAGCTTATACATTTCCTATCTCATTACAGTTCGTCGAGAGCAGCGAGAAGTAGCAGACGTAACATCAAACATATACAAATAGCCTTTATTAAGGCTTAACCAGCCAAGAATGGACGACGTCATGGACAGTGATGGCTTCGAAAGACCAAAGAAAACAAGGAAGACGTCCAACACCTGTTTTAGAGACATCGTACCAATACCGACAAGGAACAGTTTCGACGTACTACACCGCGAAACAACCGACGAGCGACGATCACCTCCGGTCGTCCTTCATTACGCTGAGGACTGGACCACCATCTCCAAGGAACTCAAACAACATCAGATCAACCTACGCGGCGCATCCCAGACAAAAGATAGTATCCGACTCCAGCCCCGTTCCCACCAGGACCACGAGAGAATAATCAACTACCTGCAGAGCACCGACACTATGTACTACACCTTCGCCAACGAAGCAAGCCGACCAATAAAATATGTTATAAAGGGAGTTCCTACAACAATCACCACCAACGATGTCTCGACCGACCTTGGGAGTAAAGGAATACACGACTGCACAATTCACCGAATGAAATCACGCTCCAAGGCCATCCCTCTAGTACTCATCACCACCTACAAGAAAAACGACGAAGAGACCATCAAGTGTATCACAACTTGCTGCGAACTACGAGTCAAAACCGAAAAGTACAGGAAACCTAAAGGACCAACACAATGTCACCGATGTCAGCGCTTGGGATGCGTGAAGTGTGCAGAACTTCACCGATCGGAAGACTGCGTGAAACAGAAAGAGGAAAAGGCGATATGCAGGAACTGCAAAGGGGATCATCCTGCGAGTTACCGTGGCTGCCCTGCCTTCACGAAGGAAAAAAAAGCCAAACCCTCTCCGACAACCGAAGAACGACCCAACGACAACCGAAACGCAGTTAGACAAGGTGTATCCGACGCCAGAGCCACGGCACGAAGACAACAGGACAAACTCGACAAAGAGACAACGACCACGAACATCCTTGGAAATATCGACCTACAACAAATTAAAACAGCAATTATAAAGCTAGCGAACCAACTGGAAAAAGCAAGTACACCAATGGACATCCTGCTTCAACTACTGGGCAGTGCTCACACACTCGCCTAGCGGCCCTAGAACGGCCTGAGGGGGAGAGGTTTTAGTCGGTAGGCGTCCTCCGGGATGAATCCGACACTACGGTCGCGCGGGCGGCCGGGTGTCTTTTGAAGATTTCCTCTCATCCGCGAAAAAAAAAAAAAAGAAAATATCTAATTACATAGTCTACCAGCAACCGTGGTAGCAACACCACGCTCGAAAGCTGTTACGTTCGTTCTCTAGCCAGTCCGTGCTTACAAACGACACCAGCGACTCTGCGAGACCACGCCCGTTAACATCACACGAGCCCAACCAGGTAGTTGTGATTACTACACATTCCCCGGCCGTTCTCAGGCAAGTTCAACACTTTAATTAATTTTAACTAACCTAATAGTCTTGGGGACCGAGTACACAACGTCCCCTTGTACTTCGTCGTTCCCTTAACCTTCTACTAACACAAAACCGTCGTTTTTCCCGTACAACCGAAGCCACGCCTACCGAAAACGTCTTTCGATTCAGACGCCTGCCATTTCGGAAATGGCGCTCCCCAAGGGTCCTGCGCTCTTGGAGGGTCTCTCCCTCGCCGACGCCATAGCCCTTTTCGGCGAGCTAAAACAGAACATTGTCGTTCTAGAAAGTTATATCCGTCAGCATGCTGACAATAAAGTCGGGCCCATGTCAGAGGACAACGGGCCCAACACCGCCACAATTTCCTCGCCCTCACAGGTAGCTGTACCGCCAAATACAGCTGCTGCTACCTCTGCCGACGGCTTTACTCAAGTAAATAGCCGTCGAACAAAACGTCGAAAACAAACACCCTTCCTTTCTTCGTCTTGGTCGTCGTCCACGGACGCAGAGTCCGAGCCTGACACTGCCGGCCAGGGCACCACAGCTCCTCCCCCAAAATCCATCCGCCAAAAGTCACTTTGACCCAAAATTCTCCGTGGCATGGAAAGCCACGGTATCTCCGCCCGATGGGCAATTAACACCAGCGACTCCATCAGAGTTTATCCCAACTCTGTGGATGACCTCCGCCGCCTTTCCTCTCTCCTCGACGAATCAAACGTCGAGTTTTAAACCAACCAGCTCCGCCAGGACCGGGACCTTCACGTCGTCCTTCGCGGAGTCTGTGAGTCTATCTCCACGGACGATATCCAGTCCGAATTAACTAACAAGGGCTTTGCTATCCGCGGCATACACCGCATGACCAACGGTGGCAAAGTATGGCCTCTAGTGTCTGTTCGGCTTGACAGGACGGACAAAAAGTCCAAGACAATCTTCGAGCTTGGCAAAATCTGCGGGCTCAATGTCAAGGTTGAGCCCAAAAGAGTCAACAAAGACGTACCCCAATGCCGGCGCTGCCAAAAATTTCTCCACACGGCCAATTACTGCCGCGCAGCCTGGGTCTGTTCTTTCTGCGGCCGAAACCATGTCTCCGCTGAATGCAAGGCGAAAGACAAAAAAGACGCCATTCCTTCCTGCGCGAACTGCAAAGGCAGTCACCGCGCTACCGTGGCTGCCCCAAAGTTCCGCGTAAAACCGACGCCCGAAAAAAGTCTACCACCATCCCTGCTGCTCCAAAGATAACCCAAGCAACCGCCCGCTCATCTGTTGCTCCCGTAAAGACATCTTCCCAAATGTCTTACGCAAGGGCCGCGAGAGCAGCCCCACCACCCCCACCCGTAAGCCCAACCCAACCCCAAGCATCGCTACAACATCAGGTGCAACTCCGTCCCTTCAGGACAAAATTCAGGCTATCGTTCAGACAATGGTAGCCAGTTTAGTCGCCGTCCTCCAACCACCCACCAATGTCTAACACAACCCACCCAAATAACCTTCGATTAGTTACCTGGAATGCCCATGGCATTAGAGGTAAAATGACTGAACTCGAGCACTTCCTCGAGGATAAGTCAATCGGTGTTGCATGCATCACCGAAACTTTTTTATCCCAAAAAATCAAGCTTTTTGTCCCAAACTTCACAGCCTACAGAAATGATCGTGAAAACTCCGGCGCCGGCGGAGTAGCCATCCTCGTTAAGAATTCTATCAAACACAAGCCCATCTCTTTGGCTACCGACTCTTTAGAAGCAGTTGGCATTGAAATCACTTCAACATCCGGCCCTGTCAGAATAATCATCTCATTATACTTCCCCCAGACGAAGGGGATCTTTCAAACCTCCCGCCAAACGTCTCGACTATCGTCGCAGGCGATCTCAATGCCAAGCACGTTTCATGGGGCTGCCGATATAGTAATAGAAAAGGCATTTCCCTTCTTGCCAACTCTCTTGACTTCGATTTCACAATTGAATTCCCACCAGATCCAACGCACTTCCCGGATCGTCACAACAACCTTCCAGATATTCTAGACGTTTTCCCCACAAGGAACGTTAACCTCTCCTCCGACCCTACAGTTCTTAACGATCTAAGCTCAGATCACCTTCCTGTTCAAATATAAATCGGCCGCCCAACTTACAACCTCCCAGAGCTAACATCCTCGTTAGACTGGCTACATCTGCGCTACACCCTTGAGTCATCTTCTTTTAAGTGCTCTCAAATTCGCACAATAGAGGAACTCGATGAAGCGGTAAATCTCCTTTCAAACGAGATTAACAGCGCCGTCGAGCGCTCCACGACCTCCCGCCCAACCACCACCCCAGTCAATACTCTCCCCGCAGACATTCTTGAACTCCTTAAGAGGAAAAACAAAGCCCGACGTCTGTAGAATAGACACCGCGTCCCAGCATAGCGTGCAGTAGTAAACGCCCTCCAAAGAGAACTAAAAACTCGTTTAATCGAACTCCGCAGCGCATCCTTCAATGACTATATCGCTTAGACAGAAACTCATCCCCGAAGCACCTGGAAAGTGATCCGTTCCCTTCGTAACAGACCTCCCCATCTTCCGCCAATAAAACAGAACGGCTCCACCTACTCTTCAGACGAAGAAAAAGCTGCAATTTTCGCAGACTCTTTATGCTTCCAGTGCTCCCCACTACGTAGTCCAGTGGACCTTGCCAACTTTCATGAGCGTACCAAAGTCATCTCCAAAAACTTCGTTCCCATAAATTCTGAATTCAGACACGCTACACCCCGTGAGATTTTCCTTACCATTCGTTCTCTGAAAAAAGAAAAGCCCCTGGCGCTGACGGAATTCCCAACGGAGTCCTCAAAGTCCTGCCACCAAAGCACATAACCGCACTGTGCAACATCACAAACACCATCATGCGGCTCCACCACTTCCCTTTGGTATGGAAAGAAGCCACTGTCATCTGTCTCCCAAAAAAAAGGGAAGCCCCTCAGCTCTCCCATAAGCTACAGGCGCATCAGCCTGCTCAGTTCGTTGAGCAAAGTAGTTGAATCCATCCTTCTCGATCGGCTCTTAGACCACGTGGAGCAAAACAACCTTCTCCCCGACTTCCAACACGGTTTCCGCAGGCAACATGGCACCGGACACCAACTTCTTCGTGTTACAGAGCACATCTCCGATAACCTTAACAAGCGGCGTCACACTTCCATGCTACTTCTTGACGTCCAACAAACCTTCGACCGAGTCTGGCACGAAGGCCTTATCTCTAAA